TGCGACCACCTTCCGCTCTCGCTTCCTGCAGGGTCTGCCCACATTTATTGCGCACATTAGCAGGAAGTAGATCTCCTTAAATAGTACATGGGGCCCAGCTGTTTACCTTCAGATTTTCGTTTTGGAAGCTGAAATGGAATAGGGGTACAGTGCTTAAAACAGCATATGAAGCGGGCACACGGGCAAGAGGATCATGGTTTGCCACTTCGTCGCACGCGGCAGTGGGTGCGACTTTTCCTAAAAGTGCACTACGCTTTCGACGGGAGCATCGGATTTCATGTAGACAAGGACATGGTAGACACTTATGTCAATTTTGGTCATACATTGTCCATTCTCGACCAATACCACCTAAAATCGTCGTCATTAGCGAGCGCGACGTCGCACGTAAAGCCCACTGGAGCGGTGAATCACGATTCCCTTGCCATATACCTGGACTACTTAGCGGGATCTAGCTTCCGCTGTTGTGCGCAATAAATGTGGGCATACCTTGCAGGAAGCGAGAGCGGAATATGTCTCAATGCACGGGATTCGAAGAAGGCAAAACTGGTAGAACTGTGCCCGCATTAGTGATTTGTAACAATGTCAGATTACTCAAGAAACACATCTAAATAGCTCTTTCGCCCTACGGTTTCTAGACTCAGAATCTCTGGCTAGCAATCGCTTTCTCGCACTCTGTAGCAGTAAGCACCTTACAGCTGTAAACATGAAATAGTAAAAAGCTGCGCAACATTGCTCGTTACACTTCGTGAGTTTAACACAAGCATTCACCTCCGAGTATGTTCCTATGTAGGAAGAAGAACGGGTTCAGCTGCACAAGTGTAACACTTTTGGCATTTGAGACGGAGCCGAAGTGTAGCTGAAGGGTTATGACACCCGGGTGCCGTTTAGGACCCTGCCGCGGGTGTCGCGCACGCATGCCGGCTATGTTTCGCCGCTCGCCGACCTCAATAGTGGGATTCCAAGGGCAACTCTCAACATTAATCACTGACGTATGGGAGACTTATTAATTGTTTCGTGGGATATTGGGCTAACGAATTTCTACATGTATCACTTAGAAAAGTTTGAAACTTTCTTGTAACAAGACTCTCAAGAAGATCTGCTGTGCCATCCGAGGGAGAAAGTCATGAAACAAAGGATAATTCACCCATGCATCAATCATTAATGTTGAACGTAGCCCTTGGAATCGCTGGAGTTGAATTCAGGCGGAGAGCGGCGAAAGGGACCCAACGTATGCCGGAAATTGCTACTCCGGAGTGCCGCGGCCCCTCTCAAGGTGCAGCTCTTGCGTCGATATCAAAACCACCTCCCCCTATGCTCCCATGCTCTGAAAACACAAGCGGCAGCGGAGCTGCAGGTACACCGCGCCTCATGCTTCATTCACCGTCGGGAACGCAGTGAGGATTGAGCAGCTAGCGTCTTATAATAGTAAAAAAAGTATCATGCATACTGTCGAGCAGAGAATAATCACTGAAAAGGGTACAGCGACTGAGTTCAAGCACAAAAGGCACCCGTTCACTGGCAATGCTATTTTTCCTAGACTACTGCCTCCATAAACATGGCGTTGATTCAAGGTGTAGTCTAATAAGGGTATCCTTCATCATATGTGATATGCCACGGAGGGAGTCAACTCTTGTCTCTGAAGACAGCACCTGTGAACGCGCCGTTTTAGAGCTCAGAACCATTAGATCGCGTGGCAAGCGGAACGCTGTTGAAGGAAAAAGGAAACAAACCGTCGGAAGGCCCCAAATAAGACCCCAGTCATGGTATTAAAGTCTTAGGACAAAGCCTTCGCCGTTGACCAATCCGTTTGTGGGTGCGGCACGCATTCTACTTCATTCAGAATCGTAGTGGCTGTTGAATGCGATGTGGCCTATACAATGGCCGATGTACAAGTCAGTGTTTTATCCTCCCAGACGAATCTGGTACCAATTTACCGTCCCCGGAGGGTAGAAGGCTTGGTTGGCCTGGGCGGGTGTCGACCCGGGATTCGAACCCGGCGAGTGGTAAGTGCGCCACTTGTCACTACACCACCTCGCCTCATTCACGGTATTCTCTAGGCTAGCAGCTGCTCACTCCTGCTCATTCTCTAAGACGTGTTTGGTACGACGTTTTTTTTCAAAGATCTTAGCACCGCCAACGAGATTCGGTAAGGAAAAGTCGATCGAGGAAGAACTAGCTTGTGAGGGCGGAGTCAGCTCATCGTAGCTGAGCTCGCTTTCGTTTACCAAGCGATTTCGAATCGCAGGAGTGGGACATCCTCTGTGATGGTAGACTCCACCAACTTGTGCCCCAGAGGGTTTCTGCACCTCGACTGATCGTAGGCGTACGGTAGTACAAATAGAGATAAAACCTTCGTGGAGGCTGCACGATCAGTACGAATTGAAATAGACAAGAAAACCTCAAAAGCTACTTATTCATACTCAATCTAAAATGCGACATTCATGGAAAACATATGTACACCACCCTATACGAAATTACAAGCAGTGATAAAAAAGTGCTTTCACGGGATATATGATATGAAACCCGTTCTTTTTTCATAGAAAATAAAACAGCATGATGTCTTGAACATCATTCAGAAATCCGCCAAAACAAAATATTATGGTAATATCAAGCGAAATTAAAACGGGCTCCAATTTCCTTCTCCAGAAGTAAACAAAAACGGAAATCGATACGAGCCCCATGCGAAAAGAAATAGAAATGAGCTCCACTGGAATAGGAAATTGAGCACAGTTTTCCAAAGATTTGGCAAATTACGAGATAACGTGAGACAAGATGAGAAAAAAGTCATTCAATTTCAATAGGGACAAAAAGCAAAATTAACAAACAGCACTGAGAACCGCGCATAGCGCAACACGTAGATTTCCGCGAAGTAGAGGGAACGTTATCTGACTGATTAACGACCCTCGCGTATCGCTTTTAAAAATAAGACAATATTCATGAATAATTAATGAAAACAGTAGTGAGGGGAAACTTACATGTCATTCGAAAAAAAAACAATAACGAGAAACTATAAACGAAATGTTAGCAACATTTCATGAATAACAAGATTTATCAATAGAATTTTACTGTTCCCACTGAGTCATTGGTTCTTGATACATTTCGTAGGTCGAGTAGATAATCTGACCGGGTTCCGCGCCACCGGGCGATAAACCGTGATCATTCGGCGAAATCGACTCATTCACCGACGGTGATAACGAATGTGGACTGAGACCGGTTTCCGTCGACAAAACTTCTAAAAACCACAATAATCATGAAGGAAACAAAAACTGCCCCAATTTTTCTAAATCGCGTACCATTCAACTGAGCCCGTTGACGTGCCTCTTCCTGTGCTCGCTTCCTCTGACGTCTTTGAGCATCACGCATCGCGTTATATTGCCTTCGTTCCTCGCTAAACACTTTTCATTTACGCAAGAAGTGAGAAACATGAGCATATGAGTTGTTGAGCACAATCGAACCTGTTCATTCGATGATATTTCGCTCGTGCCTGCTCGGCTCTTCTCGCACGTCTCATCTGAGCTTCAGCAATTGCTCGTCGCGTCTCCTCGTCAAGAGTATCTAACTGACAGGTTTCAGCCAAATGGCATAATTCCTCATCCCGTTGGCGAGCCTGCAAGGATGCGAAATTTTGAAAATGAAATTTTATCCTAGAGGGAAGGGTATTAAAGGTCAAAGCCTCGCCGTTGATTAATCCCTTCTCGGGATGAGGCACGCACTCTACTACCATTCAAACCATAATAGCTTATTAATTGCGATGTGGCAATGTATTGCGCGGGCTAGGCGGTATGTAAGTTAGAGTTACAATATTTCCGCGCGAATCTAGTACCAATACCGTCTCCAGAAAGTAGAAGGCCTGGTTGGCCTGGCCGGGGAGCGATCAGGTTTGGCTCCCGCAACGCGCGCGTGACAATCATCGCACTTGACAATACACCATGTCTCTCCGCTTTATTGCGAAGGCCGGTTTTTTCTCGCCAATCTGATGGTTAAGAAAATAAGGCTGAGTTCAAATATGTCCCTAGTCAAAGCAAAAGGATTGTTTCTAGCCAAGACTGGAATTGGGACTTCATGGAAGGGCCCTCTGCACACACAATGCCGTTGAAAAACAGAAGAACTGATAGAATCGCGTCACGCCATCAGTTCTTTTCCTCCGAAATGCAGACCGTTGACTGAGTGAACGGAATCGTAGTCTTTCCGCCGACTCTTATAATTCCATGGTATTCTAATTCTCCAGATCGATATGTATACATTCTTTCTCATGATTCTGATGGCGCAGTGAGGCGGTTTTAGCAAGTTTGAAGTCCAGGAGCGATTTCTGAGAGGAAAAAACCTCATTTACCTATGCCACATCTGTTTTGTCGCATTAGACAAGAAATTTTCAAAGTACACGTACGGTATAAAAATCAAGCTCAGCAGCCAGATACACTGATCCAATCCCCCCCCGGTTTCCTTATGAATATTCAAAGGTCAACAAAAATATTACCAACCTTCCGCAACAACTCAGCGCGTTTGGCGTTCTGTTGTTGCCGTATTTCCGGTCGCATACTGTGGTACCTGCAATCATACAATCTAGTTATGAAATATTGCCTTATACACAGAAAATGAACACAATTTCCTACCGTATGCGCGCTCGTTCTGCACGTTTCGCTTTGCTAATTTCGTTTCGTTCCGCAACACTGTGAGGCCTCTTGTATTATCATTGCCGCCAATTGTAACAGGAGCAGATAAATTCGAACGCAACGATTCTGGCTGAGGGTTGCTGGGCTTGTAGAGAGCGTAGAGTGTGTCCTGAGTAATCTCGGCATGAAATCCAGGAGCATATTATATCAAAAATGGTCAAAAAGGAAAATATTGTCTACCATAATGACAAAGCCTCATAAGCTTACTATTGGAGTCCTAAGTTAGTAGGACACAGTATAGAAGGGTAGTTATTTTACATAGCCTATAGAGGTGATTATCTTGCATATGCAGCGCGTGAGCTGGTGAACAAAAGCAAGCTCGAGAGTTTTTGCATTGCCTATTAGATCAGGCGTCATTTCGGCGCCCTATTGGCGAGATCAGGAGAAGTGACGTCCCATCGACAGCGCCAGACTCGCTTTCATACTCTCCTGGAAGAATACAAATACGGATTGCTGACCAGTCTCTCGGCTATCTCGCATTCAATCACATCCTCAAAGAGTCTGCGTTGATAGCACATCAAGCCAGCGAGAGCAAACGCATGATGAAAAATGTATTGCGAAGCGGTGAGGAGAGAAAATTTTGAGATTGGAAAACCAACTATTATAAAATGAAGGGAAGAACATCGATCTGAAAAAGAATCACTGAAGGGATCATTGTCATCAACTATAGAGGGTTTTTTTTGTTCTTTCATCCTTCGACGTTCGTTTCGCAGTTTAACAAAATCCTCTCCGCTTGCCTATAACCAGCGAACTGATGTCGCTTGCCTGAATAATATGGGCACTCTGAGGCTTACACTCTACAGCGTATTCCGTGCTCATAGGATTCTGGCAAGCTGAGCACACATGTTTCCCAGCAGTCTAATGAACTTCGTCTTTGCCAATGGCTAATGAAAATACGAGGAGACGTTAGTATTGTTTGAGGGCCTTTTTCAAATTCTCTCTAGCGGCGCTTTCTAAAAAATTTCGGGTCCAAATAGAATAAGCACAGAAAGCACCCTGCTGCATCCGTCTCTTATACCGTGTGCGAGGCGTATAGGTCCGCAGCTGTAGTAGCGTTCCAATTTTCCGCTCGGAAGTGCACGGAAACAGGGCTGGAGGGTGCCATCTCCATACTCCGCCGGCGCTATCCTCAAGATTCAGCACTTGCGTCGATGCCAACGCCTCCAGCGAAACAAGCGCTCAGCGGTAGAGAAAAACCAGAAGTGAGAGAGGGCAACAAGTAGCGCGTTCGAGTATGTGGCTGGCTGAGCGGAGTATGGAGGTTTCACCCGGTTATCGTTAATCTCAAGCCCCGTTCTGTGCGCACAAGAGCTCCTGCAGCTATGGATCCATCCATCTCGAATATGGCAAAATCCGGAATCTTCGGCGGACAGTTTGTTTTTACACTGGAACGTATATGTGACTTACAATGTCATCAATCACAATTTCATGAGACGCATAGAGGGCATGGGATGACTCCAATACCATGGAAGAAGACGACGGTACCAATTCAATCTGAAACGGTAGTTAATTAAAATAATTTGAACGTGACAACCGAAAGCATTCATCTTCATACCTGATCCTGAGAGTTGGCAAATGTCAGCTGTTTGCCCTGTTCGTCTACACTGGACAAGGGCATTGGCTGCGGATGGATGAGAAATGGCTGTCCATTTGTTATCGCACTAAACCCTCACAGATAAAAGCCCTTTCAGTAAGAGACAATTATAGGGTCACATACCGCAGCTGCTCTTCTCCTCGAATGAGAGTTCCATCCACAGTTCGCAATTCAACAGGTTGTCCATTAGCATCAAGGCCAGTGATTAGCATTTCATGCAGAGCCTTTTCATCGATCAATTGCGACGGCTTAACAATGCAATTCTACCTTCAGGACAAAAATTAATAAATTTTTATTCTCGAAAAAGTTTACAGAATTCGGAATACCATAGTGAAGCATACCTGCACATAAACCTTGTCATCCACTAGATGTCCATCGTTCGTGATCAGAACCTGGTCGCCTTCGATTAGCTGCTGTTCCACAGACCCGAATCTGCTCGTTTGAGATTGTTGCTGCTGACGAGCCAAAGCCATGTGCGCCTTGAAAAACACATTTTCATAGCTACATAGTTTTCATATTTTCATAGCGCCAACCTATTTTATTCGATATTCAGGAGATTGGTTAACGCCTCGGCCAACCAAGCGCCCGACCCTTCGGGACGACAAATTAGTGCCAATTTCGACACGGGATAACAACACTGATTTATTTATCGGCTGGCAACGCAAGTCATTTAGGCCGTACAGCATTCCATAAGCCCCTACGAATCTGAATGGAAATGGTATACGTGCCGCTTCCTACCAAGTTAATTGCTGGCGGAAGCGTAATTCTTTTATTCTTGATTTCAAGACATTTCGGTTGCACAAAGTCGCGTTCATACTTTAAGCGTGCGCAATGTTCCGAGCGTACGCCAGCGCCAGTGACTATATGAAATACAAGTATTGATCTAGGGACGCTAATGTACGCCAGCGCTTTCGTTGGCGATTTTAGCTTAGCAAAACTGCCCCCTATAATGCTGCTATAGCTGGCATACGCTGCTGTACGATAGATAAATAGCTGTGCTTTCCCAGACGCTCGAAGCTGCTGCACGCTGGCGTACGTTGGGCATATGTTGTCTGACGTGGCGTTAGCTAGGTTGATATCCATATTTTCCTGGTCGCTGGCGATGGTGTATGCTCGAAACGCTTGCAGTAAGCTGGCGTACCGATGTAAAGTATGAACGCAGCGTGAAAAAGTGCAGAGCTAAGAAATGTTGCAAGCATCGTTTCCACGCCACTTCCTTAATTTTCTCCCCACGGGCTACAATAACGAGCTTCAATGAGCTTCATTTCCACGTCGCTCCTCGGTCGTTTTACTTCACGCTAATGATTATTGCGACTTCATTTCCACGCGTCTTTCTCCGTCGCCTTACTGAACGTTGGACGGCTTTAGCAATGGAAAGTGCGAGGAGACGATTGTGAAACGGAGGGATGAGGATCTTAGTCCAAACGCAGACAAAAGCAGGTCCGGGATGGGAAATTCTGAAACTTTCCCCCTAGCCTTGTGCAAAACCCTTCATCCGCAAAGAAAATTTTCCACCACCAGAAATGTTTAGCAGGCTATAAAGTTTTTTAGGGCATTTGCAGCCGAGGAAGAGGTCAAAGCTCGCCCCCACTATACATGATGAGAGTAGCGGCTGGTGTTCAATACTGAATACTGCCTCTTTACAATTACACTATAACAGACTCGCTAAAAAGATTATAACAGACTCGCTAAAAAGAGTTAACCTACCTGTTTCGTTCTCTTAATAACCTCTCTTTCCATCTGTTCAAAAATGTCATCGGTAGTTTGAGCAACCTAAACACTACTCTAATACCTTCAGACAGAGTGAAATTACTACGGCAACGAACCTGAGGATTCGACGAATTAAGGTGTTCGTGTGACGAAGACAGATCCGCGGAGTCCAGTAATGATACTGCACTGTTATGTTGAAATGATGAACTCAACCCTGACGAATCTGTTATGCTGCCGTCTAAAAAACTTCGCAATGGGAATATCATTTTCACGGCAAGACAGTCTTGTGCTACGTACCTACGGAGCAATCAGAACTCATATTTCCTCCACGACCCATTGCGCGAAGCTTTTTCGCTTGAGCCCGCCGCATATTGTATTCCTAAAAAAAGGCCAATAGTGTGTTCAACTTTTTGCCAGTATTTTCAGCGTTCTGGGCGACTAGAAAGTATAGGTGCCGATATAGTAGCGTTCAAAACCCTAGATCGATACTATACTTTATTAATGGCTCAAAACGCTCACAATGCTGGCGTAGGCGAAAAGCGCTGGATCGATACCTACACTTCCCCCACTCGCTCAGAACGCTGACGCAAAGTATGAACGCTTTTCACAGAAAGAAATCACACAACAAGTTCCTAACCTTTCGCTGTTCAGGTGTCATTTTCTGATATCGCGCACGAGCCGCTTCAGCTTTACGAGCATTTCTGATCATAATCTGCTGTGCCTAAAATATTAAGTACTCAAACAACTTAACACACATTCACTGACAAGTTACCAACTTTCTGCAAAGCTTCGGCTGAAATTCGTCCTGCGGGTGTTGAAAGCAGAATCTCCTCTTCGACTCTGCGCTTTCGGAATGATTCTGTGCGTCGCTGATTATACTCACGTCTTTCTTCTGCTGTCATACGATGATACCTGAGGGCACAACCATTAGACACTCACTCTTTTCTTTTTATTATTTCCAACAACTCCAGTAAACAGTAACACACACCTGAGTCTTGCTGCCTCGGCTTTCTTTGCATTTGCCATTTTAATATGTTCTCGAATCGCCTCATTGTCAATAAACTGGCCTTTTGGAGTATCAGGATCAAGTCCTAGCGCTCGAAGCCGTCGTCGTTGATTATAAATCCTGCAACAAATTATCCTCTGTGTGATCCTCATATCTCCCAATACGTAATCCTCATATCAGAAATTAAGATGGCAGTAATTACTTTCTCTCGGCTTCACTCATGCGCTGATAACGAGAACGTGCAGCTTCCGCTCGCCGCATTTTCGACCTTTGTTCCCGATACTTTTGGAGATCAATCTGGATTCTTACATTTGCGGAAATCTATTTACGTTCAACATAACACCTACACTCACATCTTCGTTGGAGTCGCGTAACAAGTTCTCTAGTTCCCTTCTGTCGCGCTCCCTGCGTTCAAGTTCTCGCTGTTTCTTCTTTTTATTGTCGATCTCCTGACCAATACTTCCATCCATGGAATCATAGCTAAAACAGGTTTTTTGGCTAAAATGTACTACAGAAAACGTGTTTTCGTGGACCACCCAAAAATGAAGTCGCTTGAAGACACTAAGGATTGCCGATGTGGGCGCAGCCGATCGGCTGCTGCCAATTCTCTCAGGCTACGTGACAACTACAGTTGTTGGGGTCCTAGCGCGAAAAGCCAGAGTGCGGAGATATAAAGGACTGTGGTTGAAAGGTATCGAAAGGTGCAGAAAACGTCTCGCGAGTCTGGGGTGAGCTTTCCAAAGGGGAGGCTGCGTTTATAGGTTGCAACAGGGTACGCCAGCGTTTCCTGCACAGCCAGGGCCAGTGACTAGGAAAGCATAGATATCGATCTAGCAAACGCCAGCACACGCAAGCGTATGCCAGCATTCTCGCGGGCAATTTGAGCTTGAGCCAGACGCCGCGAAAACGCTGTTGTACGTTAACATGCGCTGCGCACACGGGATCGAGTACTTTCCTAGTCGACGCTGAAATACGCTGACGCAAAGTACGAGCGCAGCCGGACGGGACTGCAGATGGCGAATCACTTTCCATGAGTGAGAGATTGGAATATTTAAAGTGACAGTGAACATATAATGCCGTTTAGATGTGGGAGCACAGAGTAAAACAGAAAGTTGAGGGATTGAGTTAAACATGGAGACAAAGACTAAACTATGTAGACTAACCTGACAAGAAAATAAACAACTCACTCATCATGCTCATGATCACTATTATCAACGGTCTGCGAGGAAGTGCTTGGTTCATGTTCCACAAAATATGTGTCAATGAAGGCATTCATTTGATCTGCCTGTGCCACCGCAGGATGTTCCTTTGTTAAGGTAACCGTAGAAGAGAGCTAAAGTATGCGCTCTATATATCTTCAACATTCGAGTGAACAGTTCTGGATGCAGTTTGGCTTAGTGGGGGGAGGGGGTGTTCTGAAGCTTTTCATGAATGTTTTCCTGCGGAGACCTGTGAACTATTGTGAAGATGTGCAATCGCACAAAGTTCATTTACACTTGACAAGAGTCTACACACAGGTATCACCAAGGTGAGACGTGTAAGCTAAGGCCGCGTTCATAGCTTGCGACCATGAAGAAATGCAGAAATGCGGAAAATGCAGAAGTGCGGAAAGTGCAGAAGTGCGGAATCTGCAAAAGCAATAGATACGTATCGACTTGAAGAAATGCAGAAATGCCGAAACTGCAGAAGTGCGGAAAGTGCAGAAATGACGAAAAGCATTACATACGTATCGATTTGAAGAAATGCAGAAATGCCGAAAGTGAAGAAGTGCGGAATCTGCAGAAATGCCGAAAGTGTGGAAAATCGATACGTATCGGTTGCTTTTCTGCACATTCCGCACTTCTGCACTTTCCGCACTTCTGCATTTTCCGCATTTCTGCATTTCTTCATGGTCGCAAGCTATGAACGCGGCCTAACAGGAACTAGTGAAAGGAATTAGCCCACCCCTAGGCCAAACAGTGCTATCTGCATTGACCTACCAGTCCATTCTCCGTCGTGGCAATGGAAGAGGAAAGTTCTGGAAGACGGCTTTCCAGCGAACTATGTGCGCTTAACTCTGCCGATGTAGAGGATGACATAATATTGGACGATACCAGTAGCTATAAGGGCTTTGTTTGGGAATTACAATCTTTTCGATGCAGATGATGGGCGTGTCAGTGGGGCGGGCTCTGGCGCGCCGCCAGCTCCGTCTCCACCAATGTCGAAGCGGTTAAGCGACAACGATCGACAACTACATATGCTTACAGTCTTACGCTTGCTCGCTTCAACAGCTGGCGGAAAACAGTTTGGCGCCGCGCCAAAACCAGTCCTTCTGACACGCCCAATTGCCTCCACAGCCAACAACACTTAATGATTCTGCAAAGACTATACACTTACATATTCGCCCTTGCGATCCTGTGAAAATAAAGAATTAGAGTTTCCATGGAACGTTGTTGGGGCAGGGGTGTAATAAGTGGTCGTCTAAACAACTATCATCAAAAGGAAAAAAGAAGCGACAGCTAAAAACGAAAAAAAACGAAACCGAAAAGAGGAATAGACTCGCCTGAGGATGAAACGCAAGATTGGTTTGTGAAAACGACGAAACCTCTGCGGGTGTAAGCGTTTCCAATATTCGACCATGTGGCGACGAGCTGTCTCTTGGAGACCCCGCAGTTATATAAATCGGGTGTTGGTTCATCTGAGATTTGAATTTTTTCGAGAAAAAAAAGCTGAGGTTTGAGCCATCGAACCATGACAAAAAGCATGTATCACAGCGTTCAACACCACGAAATGCAGGAATCAACGAAATTCAATGGCAATCAAGTTTATTAAGTTTGCGTGCCTCTTCAAAATTCGTTATACATTTGAGAAAAAAAAACGAGAACTATTTCACGATAAATAAAATAACGCAGATACGACAAATCACCTTCTAATGCCTAACTCAAGCAAAGATCCACGATAAGCTCACGGATCCAGTATGTGTTCAAAAACACTTCATAGGAAATGAACATAGCAAAAAAAAAACGCATCAAACAGGCACACATAATCAATATAAAACCTTGGAGACACATGAAAGTGATGAAACACAAAATCCCTTCCTACCCTCGGGTCATTCATTAATAGAGAACACGGATCTTTATATGAACGTTCGAAGTGGCTTCGAGGTGAGATAACAAAACAAATAACATGCCGCTTTTTTCACTGAAAACTGCCAACGGAACACCTTAAGACAGTTCCAAATGAAAACGATATGCAAAAATACACTTACATAACGAAGAAAACGTTTGACAAATTGATTCTAAGCCCGAGATGGCGGTGCTCCATAGGGATTGATGATCTGCTGCTGGATATGTTGCCCGTTGACCATCATACCACCGGTTGTATAGGTTATCTGTTGGGGTGCTGATGTTTGTTGATGAACAAGTTGTTGACCGCCCGAAGTGGTCGGAACATGCTGCTGTACTACCAAATGACCCGACGAAGACGGCATCTACAAAATACTCGGCTATTACGATGAAAACCTACAGACCAGGGGTATGCGACAAGACAATCGTAATAAGCCGCACTCGTGGGCCCGATGAGCGACGTCGCGTCCGGCGACAACTGTCTCGTCTTTCCGTATGTATATTAATTATAAGCTGCGTTCATGCTTTGCGGTAGCGTCCACCAGCGTTCAGGATTAAATTGTATGGGAAAGCAGGAGGGTAGCTGTCTGCTGGATTAGGCGTCGTGAAACTGTAGCGCGTGCAAACGCACCGTACCACTGGACAACACCGTATACTGAACTGCATAATTCTGTGCTCAAGCAGTTGTACGGTTCGCTTGCACACGCTATCATTTCACGACGCCTAACCCGTGTCTGCTCCCCTCCTACTTCATACTCTCCACTCCTGGACGCAGGCACACGCGGGTCGACGCTGGCGTTTGCTAGAGCGATATCTATACGTTTCATAGCGCCGGCGCTGACGGAAGCTCGAAACGCTTGTGGTCGCTGGTGGACGCTGCCGCAAAGTATAAAGTAGGCTGAAAGGACAGAAAAATTTCATATCGCCTTCCATGGAGTCTTCGCTCCGTTCCAATCCATATAAGTTTTTTACCCCAATCGACAAACTGATACACATCGAGAGTTCACCGCGATGCAGCACGCGCGGCAAAGAATTACGATTGTCTTGTCTGCCTCCATCAGAGCCAGATAGACAGAAAAAGGGAAAACACATGCAAATAGAACTAAAGAAGAAAGAGAAGAAGTAAACCGAACCAAGGAACAAAGTGATCTCTCAATCACCTGTTGTTGACCAACAGTGACGTGAGGGCCTTGCTGCCCTTGAATAGTTTGCACCGGAACTTGATGGACTGTATGCACAACTTGTTGGTGTGTCACACCATTTGAAGAAGCAAGCTGAATCTGAATTGAAGTGGATGATTACTGAAGGTATAAATCCTCCAAAAACGCATTTAATATTTGAATGCAAAATGCCCCCACTCCCCCCTCTTTGAGTCGAACAGCGCCTCATAACTGCTTATTCGCTTAATCATAATGTTCAGAAATCTTGGTGAAATCAGTATCTGGGCTTTATCCATGAGAGCACTATAACAAAACACAAAGGAAAGCTATTTAAGAAGAGAGAAGCTGGTCTATTAAACGAAGGAAAGCTATTTAGCTCTAGAGCTCAAGAACTACTGGTTATGCGTTAGTGCTATTCTAATTCGATACTTCAGGGTTAATACCGGCAACCTTTATGCCCCGCAATTTCCATCTGAGCATGTCCTACACAAAGAATTGGTAAAAGTATAGGAAGGATGTGTGATTAGGTCTAACTGGAGGAAGTTCAGGAAATTCGAGGAGGAGGGGGCGTATATCAGAAAGTTATATCCCAACGTCAGGACGTGCTCTGACTCCGAAATCGATATTACGATGTACAAAGAGCTCCTGCGCTTTTTACTCATAAAAAAGGATACCCAATATTCTATTGAATGAGACATCTAGCAAGTTCCTCCTTTAAACATTAGCGTTTCTCTAATAATTTCACTGCAATTCAGAACACTAAAGTAACAATATGGTTCGCCGACGGGCTAGTTGACTCAACGCAGCACTTTGACCTCATTCAATTGCTTCATCGCAGTCTAGTCCTACACAGTTTACTTCGCGGCTTTCTCAATAAATTCGACGATCGACAAAATGCTTTCCTCCGCTTCTTCTTCGTTTTGGGGACCATTACTCAACGGTTTTGACTTATAATAGCATTCACATATCATCTGACCCTCATAGTTTCAAACAGGAGATAGCAACGTTCCGATTGTTAAATCATTTAGGCTATGAAACTAAAAGCATAGGACGGGCTGTCGTGACCCGATTGCTTTGACAAATGGCTAATTGTAGTCAACTGGCCAGGAATTCTAGCCAGGGTACAGCATCGTGATGTGTGAAGTGGTGGTGTAGGTACGACCCGTCCCCTAAGGAGAGTCTCGGTACGACCCCTCCCTCCTCCCCAACACCTACCCACCAATTTCCCATTTTCCAGTTTTTTCCACCCAAAAATTCCCCGTCGATGAGGAAGTGAGGGGGGGAGCACTTTAGAAGCACGTTACCAGCACTGACAAGCTCCCTATGTAACCTAAAAACAAATGAATCAGCAACAAACCTGTTGCACTTGACCCTGCCCAATATGGGTAACAGGTGTCGACGACCCTTGCTGGATAATGTATGTACCGCCCTGAACTCCCTGTGGAGTGGGAGTAGTGGCCACCGGTTGAGAAATCACTTGCACTGCTTGCCGTTGTTGACGCATAATTGCCTAGACAAACCAAATAGGTTTATTTCGTAGCGCTTCAATTGTCTAGTAGCTTCGAACTTCTAATAAAA